GCCAAGATATACAAGCCTGCAGAAATTGATGCTCTGCTTCGGGCGGAAGGGCTTGCGAAGAAGGATGAGGATACAGAGATGAAGTAATTGGTCATACTCGCAGCTGTATTCGTGTACAACAATTTCTTCGACCTTGGGAATGGGCAAGGTATATTAATTATGAAGCATAGAAGGAACCAGCATCCCCATTGATAGTCGTCTATGGTCTGTCTACATTAGACCTGGTCCTTGATGAAAGGAAAACACGGAATGATCGAAGCAATGTAAACAGGAGTGATAGCAGCTTCCCCCATGTACACGAATCAATGACATGCCATCCCCTTGTCAGCAGGGCCGTTTGGCTCTATAGTATCACCCAAGATGTAGTGTCCCACTGCGGCACACCAAGGATAACTGCAAAAATCAGATATGCCTGTGTGCAAACAAATCAGTCAGTGTCCGAAAAACAGGCAGTCAGACGTACATTGTACGTCATGAACACCAGCATCAAAAAGAAAGACAAGCCCACGCTAGCTCCATACAGCACAGCGCGCAGGGTACGATAGAGAGGAGGCACAGCGAATCTAAAGACAAAGCAAAGCGAGTCAGTACAATCAAAGCAAAGCACATGTACATAGCAGCACCCACCCCTGCTTCCTCGCGACCCTCAACCCATTCAACAAGCCTATCCTCAACACCATCACCACGACGTTCAGGCGAGCTCTGCCCACTCGTAGTAAGCGGCGTTCTACGTCCGCTCTGAATCCTCAATTTCATAGCGATGCGCTTATCAAAGTCCCTCGAGAAGACGCGGAGGTATTCGTAGAGCAGGCCTAGGGCCACGATGGCGAGGAAGGAGAAGAAGAACTGAAGGTTAGAGTGGATGTGCCATTGTCTGAATACGACGCATGTGTCGATGATTTGGGTGTTCCTGAGAATGGGGCGTAAGTGTGGAGTCACTGGGTGGGTTTGGTTGGGACGTACCAGAGCATGTTCATTGAGCACCTTACATTCATGTCGTGTGCGCCGTGATCCATTGTGGTTGGGTGGAGTACGTATAATTGGTGTTTCAGTTGCCTAGGTTGAGAATGAGAATTGAGAGTCTTCTAATTGCGGATACAGTCGAGAGTTGCTGCGCTACGAGCAGCTTACTAGTACAGTTGCGGACAAGCAAAGTCCGCAGATTCACAGACCGAATTCAGACCAAATTTTCTGGGACGCACGACATCAATCCCTGCCGCACCCCAGCTCAATACAACCATTCCCTTGTGTTATAGCACAACAGGATAACCACGAGCAGTTGTTTCGCTTACTGCCACTGCCAGTGTTGTCCTTGGGAGAGGAACTCGGTCCTTGCTAGTTTTTCGTGCCTCTCCCTACGTTTCCTTGGTCACTAGTCTTTCGTGGTCACTCTGATTAATCTCTCTACTTCGCTCAAACTAATCTCGTCTTCTGCGCTTCATTAACCGATAGCGTCGCGCACGCGAAATCTATTCGTCTTCGAATCCATAAACTAATCTACGGAAGCCCTTCGCTCTCTCTCATCCCTCACCTCCCCTCCAATGAGTGCGGTGCTCACTATAAAGCTTCCTGGTTCAGGTGCCTTTGCATAGAAAGACCTTTTAGAACATGTCATTGGTTTCAAAGTGAAACCAATGACGTGTTCTACAGTGTCTCCGACATCCATGCCAGATGAACGCACCATGTCAACGATTACTCTCCTCGCCGAAGTAGGCAGGAAATTGGTACTCTTCAAGATCATATCAAAATCCGACAATGGCATCGTTTCGATTCTAATGTGAGTAACAATTTTCGCGCGTTCTTCTCGGTCTCATCAGTGACTCCACAGAAATTGAAAACACCGTACAAACCTCTCGTCAAGTGGCGTGATATGGAATCCACTATCCTTGGCAAGTATCCTGCCGAAGATTTGCCTCCCGCTAGCTGAATGCCTCCTCCACCTGAAGCAAGAACAGTGGACATGGACACGGACTCAGAAGATGAGTTTGACGATGGCACAGATTGGTTGGATGGTCCCGCTGCTCTTTCACAGTTTAAGGCAGTGGAAAAATACTCGTTTGTGCTTGCAGCATCCAGCGGTATCTATTTACGTGCACCCTACCTACGTGAACTGTTCGATTCAATCGGAAAAACAGCCTTCGCACTCGGATTCCGCACCAACAAAGAAGGCTGCCGCTAAAAACCTGTCCTCGTCTGTCCCCAACCCTTCTGCGTGGGACGAGTGGAAATCCACCTAATTCACCTCATTCACCCTATTTGACCTCATTCACGCTGTGAATCTGAAGGTCTCTGGGCGCATTGTAAATTTACCGTGAATCTCGGACAGTTCCTAATTGACCGTACACTAGTTTCAATGCAGTTTCGAGGCCTTGCGTGCACATAGACGTCGATAGTAGACTCCTGCATTTTCTCAGACTGCGATTCTTCTCTGGTGCAACGACTATGAGCGCAACTGGGACCGCGCTGTCGACGCTACTGAGCGGCTCGCGAAACTGCAAGAGCAACGTCGAGGCTTTTTTTGCTCTTAGCGAGGACCAGCGGAGGCACACACCACATGTCCGGTAGAAGTATTACTGGACCTTCCTTGTTCCAAATATTTTAGCGAGTATCCTGCACACTCGGACGGACATGGGACATGATTCAGGGCTTCCGAAAATGTCATATCCACGATGGCGCTGCCCTGACTGTTACTTTGCCTGGTTGGAAGAAGAACTTAAAGGCGATGTTGAGCTCATATTCACCGGACCCACTCTCTGGTATTCATCATAACCTATTCTCATACTAACAATGGTTTGCTTTGTAGCCCGACTCGGTTGGACCCACTGGGAGCGGCGCCGGTGACGAGGATGAATACCACGCGGGATACCGGGCAGAGTTGGCGCAGCGATACCGTAAGCCATGTACTAGTATTCACTCTTATGGTCTTTCTAATGCAGTACACTAGGAATACAAGCGAAAAGTTACGGTGGAGGTGAATGCCATCCTGCCTACTAGTTTTATGAGCCACTGTACTGACTGGGTTCTTCTACAGGTTGACTCTTCTTCGACGCTCCAAGGCAAGGGCAGTGGGATTGAGCACGATGACTAGCCGTGGGATCCCAGTGGATGCGTGCGTGATAGCATTGGCGTCGGGATGGCAGGATGGCGGGCGAGGCACGAGGGGGCGGGACGGCGCGAGCAGCGACCCCCTTGTTGTAATACCTCCCTAATACAAACGATTCACAGCGATACCCATCAATAACTCATTCAATACTATTAGATCTGTACCGATACCATTTTCTAGGCCGGATAGAGTGATTTCCAAGCGCATATATTCAACCAAACAGAACGAAAACCTATCGATATACCAAAAGGTTTCTCTCGACCTCTATCTTTTTGTGTCTTGAAAAGTGCCAAACACGAAACACAGCGAGAAAATCGACGGCCCCTGATGTATTCGTCCTATATCGGCCTGATTCTTGTCGATTTTTGCTGGGCCTGAGTTTAGGAGTTGCCATGTTGCTGAACCACACAAATCCAGCGCGAGGCACAAAACAAGTATAGTATATAGGTACGCAGATATGTTTCAAGGCAGCCTTCTTATTGTTAACTTTGACTAAAATCCTTTCATAGATGAGATATCTTGAATCTTTGGAGGCACGCCTAACCAGATAGAAGTGAGGCTCGAGCTACAGAAGGTCAGGGCCACTTGGCTGGCAAGCTAGATGCCTGGTGGAAAGCCAGCCGAGAGGAACGCCAGGCCAAGTCAGCCATGTACGACGAAGAATTCAAGGCCATGTCAGCGGAGCTTGCATGGGAATCGAAAGTTGCTTGCTGCAGGATTGAGCATGCCTGCCAAGCAGTATCTGATAAAGAATTGATGTTTCGCGCGAGACAAACTGGTTGGTTTTGCCCACCTTCCTGATTTTTATTGATATCCGACCGATATTTGTTCTCGGGAGACCCGAGTTGTACAATGTACTTACAATGAGATCGTGAAAGAACCATGTTGCGACCGTCGTCGGTACCAGGAGACCCATAACAGAGAAACAGCACTACACGAACCCACAGTTTGAGATTCCCGATGCGTTTCGCCCCGTTTTCGGTCGGCGAGCAACATGTGATGCATGCAAAGAAATCATCAGACCCAGCACACCCAAGAGATACGTACCTGCTTATCATTGTACAGCAACTTGGACAATATGACGACCACAACAAGAGGAACTAGTTAAATTTATCCCGGTCATCAGTAGAGTTCGTCGTCGTTGGGCAGAGAGCGGAAAAGAAAAGTGAGGACAGGCGGCCGAGATGTCACCTGGGCTTTACTGAGGTTCAATTGGGACAGCATGAGGACTGCCACGAGAAGAGCTGGCTTGTCTTGGTCATCAGTGGAGTTTATGACTCCGTCGGCGGGCAAAGAGCGGAAAAGAAAGGCGAGGACAGGCGACTGAGATGTAACCTGGGCTTTGATGAGGTTCAATCGCTTCCGAGTCATCCGTCTGAGTCATTGTTGTGAGAACGGTGGAGGAACGAGACAAGGAGTACACTAGCAAAGGAATAAGCAGGTTCTAGTTGATGGAAATGTTGGCGAATCTAGAACCTGTCTAGAACACCGGCTCGTCCTGGTGAGATTCAGAACTCATTGGTGTCCCCGAACTGGGATATCGTGTAGCATTAACACGTTGTAATTGGTTGACTTTGTGTGAGCCTATACGCGCACATGCGTGCATCGTCTTAGAAATCCAGTCATGCAAATACTAGTATTTTTTGCGCATTTCAGGCTCCAGTATCAACATTTTAGATCATCTAAAATACTTGTAGTACTCGGAGGGCCGCCATTGCGATGGCGCGTGACAGAAGTGAAGCAACGTGCGAGGATAAACAGATTCGGACATGCGAACAAAGTGCCAAGCAAGGATGTAGGATTGGATTTTGTGAATTTCAAGACGAAACGATGTGAAGGTATGAGTACCTCTAACAGTCAATATTACACACACCCCTTGCCAAATAATTGACCAAGACGATAGGAAAGCGATAAGGATATTAAAGTAATCTGGCGTGAGGCACTTAATGTTCCATGTCGTCGTCGTCATCTTCGTGGTCATCCTTTGTGAGGCCGGCCTTTTCGAGGGCTTCCTCGGATGTATAGTCGACGCGTACGCCACGGGTGCGACGAGAAACAATGGCGCTGGGGTCAATTTCCTCGAGCTCATCTTCCTCTTCCTCCTGTTATGAGAGTTTCAGTGTCACAAAGGGATATCAATTAATAAAAGTTATACCTCTTCCATTTCCTCCTCACCTTCTTCCTCATCTTCCTCCTCCTCTTCTTCTTCTTCCTCTTCCATAGATATGTCCTCAGCGGGGACCTTTGCTTTACTTTTCCCCTTTGAATCGGGAGACTTTATGACAGTAGTCGCGTCTTTTTTTGCAGGGGAACTAAAACGAAGATCAGATTAGGCAAGCGAAAACATGCTGCCGAACATACCTGGGTTCGGTAGACATGATAGGAAATGGGCAGTGAGTGGCAATCGTGTGGAAAAGAGCGCGTTGGCGATGTTTGCATGTGTTGACGCGACAATATTGATTTCAATCGGAGTTATAAACACAAAGTGAGCGCTCATCTCCCGGACGACTGGGCGTTGTGCTAGTTCGGTATATGCCGTGGGATGTTATGAGATGTGAGCTCAGTTGGACCGCTGAGATTAAACTCACGGTGTAAGGTAGGTTCCGAGTGACCATATAGTGTCACTCACTTCCATATCGATATTCAAGTTAGTAACCCACTTTCATCGTCATGCATCGGGCGCTTATGTCCCTTTCCATCGGTGATCCTGACAAACCGTCTTTCTCCCCCTTCGTTCCACCACCCATCCAACGTCTTTCACTTCCTCCTACTGCCTCTCCTTCATCATCGTCAAATCCTGTCACAAGTCCAAAGAATAAGCACCCCCCTCGACCCATCCCAGGTCCATCTACCTCTAACCCGTCTGCCATCTTCCCCTACCTACATCGCCTTGAAATTCGCGACGACATGGGTTCTCGACGCCAACAGAGACCTCTTCTCGTACTCAAGCTGTCCTCTCCTTCTTTCCTAGATTCCGTTGCTACAGACCTCGTAGCAGAAACTCCTCTATATTCAGTCGAAACAGTCGGCTCTTCTACTACTATATGGCGTTCAGATCCTTGGGATGCTTCTGTAAAAATTGCAGATATTTGCTGGCCCAAGGATCTTCCTCTCAAGGGCAAGGGGAGGGATACCCACGGTGCAATTATACAGATGGGTGAACCTCGCTGGAAAGACACTGACAGCTACCTCAAGTATGGTAGCCTTGGAAAGTATGCTCCTTCCTCATCTATTCAATCCCTCATCTTATTGTTTTTTTTAATTCCACCAGCTCCCGTAAATTCACCTTACCAAACCATCCCCATGTGCTAAAGTGGAAGCGAACTGGTCGCACTTATCAGGTAATATTCGTTTTTCATGACATATTTCCGCTTATGCTCACACTTCCTCATAAGTGCACAACTTCATCATGTAAACGACTCATCGCATCACTTGATACACTACAAGACGACGAAAACAATCCACGACTTAAAGTTTTCGAGACTCTTGATCTTGTCCATCAATCAGTTCCTCAAGTAGAACACGCTGGAATATCCCTTTCACTACTAGATAACCTCTTCGTCACCGCTCTACTACTCGTTACAGAGCCCGATGATTGGATGACTCTAAGGCACAACCCAAATTCACTCAATACCCCAGCAAGAGATTCCGTATCCCTTCCTAAATCCACATCCGCTCCTGCATCTGCACGTCAGTGGCGTAAAATCATGTATGGCGAACCTCTATATCCCTCCCTCAAGACCCCTGCAATCGATACTCGCTGCAATGAGGATGCAGATGTACTCGATATCTCCGGCGCAGCGCCCCCTCCCACATCTATAAATCAATGGCGCAAAATTGTATATGGTGAACCGTTATACCCATCATTACGACCTCATAGTGCAGACGGTCTCGACTTACCTCCACGCCCGGGTACCGCATGGGACTCTGCAAGCATCTCCTCTGAGTCTGTGTGCTGTCCCGCGACCCCTTGTTCAGCACCATCGACTGGCTTCTATGCATCCACATTCTTTGACGACTCGGAAAGAACCGTCCCAAGGATCAATACCAACAGCCGTTATTCAGCTCCCCTTAGCCTGTCCCCTGGAGCAATATCACCCATTCCAACATCTGATTACATCCCATTATCATCCCAGCCCTCCCCCTCGCCACGTGCGGGTACACGGCGAGAACTTCCTGCACCACCGTCTTCATGGCACCCCCCTGCTGGATCACAGCCGTGGCTTCACCGATCTAGATCATCACCCCGGTTATCATCCATCCCATCCACAACTAGCAGGCGTTCTCAGTTGGTCACAGAAGACGGAGTGCTAGTCCCACCAACACTGCTAGACAGTGATATGGATAGTGTGGACGATACACCCCCGTCTCGCAGCCGTGCTCTTTCTTCGGGATCTGTCGTTCGCCGCCGATTACCTACCGTCCCCTCAAACCCCGCATCCCCTACTAGCTCACCTCCTACTCGGCCCAAACGCCTTCCCACATTGGCACGTACCCTTCCCCCAACGCCTGCCTCTATACCCCGCTCTCCCTCCACGGGACATCGTTATACCTACTCGTCCAACGTCGTCTCAACGCCGATATCAACAACAATGCCTGCACGGCCATCAACCGCACAGCAACCACGGGTAGGAACCGTCCAAAGAAGGATCCTGATGAAGTGCTAGGGTGGGTACGTAACGTCACCCGAAGGCACCATCACCGGCGCGCGGTCGAGGAGCACGGGACCTCGAAGAAGCTCCACCAGCGTACAACGCCATCGATTTCTCAACGCCCCCACACTCCCGCGCACCACCCAATCCCAGTTAAATTCTCGGTCCTTCCTTTTTCCTGTTTATGGATATATCATACGTGACGCCAATAATGATAGAAGTTTTTCGCGACGAAATTCTGATTAGTCCCTTGAGGAAAATATCTTTGCATTTAATTCCAAGCTTGCTATATTTTCATTTTTCTTCTTTCAGTTGTTGTTTTGACACACATCTTTGTTCTTTAATTCCGTCAGCCAAGCAGCCACTCCTTCTCCAACTGACCATGTACCTGATATCCTCAATTGATTGATCGTGCCATAACGTACCACCACGCGCTGATATCGACCTTTACCCCACTCTTACATACATATATTTCGACGCATATATACATAGGATGTTTGTTTTATGGACTCGACGCCAATCAAAAGATGTT